GTAAGAATCCATGCTGGTGTTTTGTAAACAGCTCATTGCTTTTCATATGGTCCACAATTCGATCCCTCACAATTCCCTCCAGGACTTTTCCTGTTACTGAAGTAAGACTTACGGGGCGATAGTTGCTGGGAGATTTCTTGCTTCCTTTTTTGAAGATGGGAGTTATATGACCAATCTTCCACTCCCTCGGGAGTTTTCCTTCTTCCAATGATTTTGTGAATATTATCTGAAGTGGTGTTGCTAGAACCTCCGCCATTTCCTTTAATACCCGTGGGTGGATGTTGTCTGGCCCCGGTGACTTGTTCGGGTTCAGGTTTTTCAGCCTTCGGCATACATCTTCCACACTGATGTTTATGTTGTTGAGGTCTTCCTCATACATTCTCTGTGTCGGCTCAGGGATTGACTGGGTATTCTCCTTGGTAAATGTGCTGACGAAAAATTTGTTGAGGACTTCAGCTTTTTCATCGTCATTTGTTGCTACGAATGTGTGATCTTCATGTGTGTCATCCATAGAGAGAGAGAGACAGACAGACAGCGAGACACACGCATACTGAAAGAGAGAATGAGGGAGAGTCATTCTGATCGTTTTACATGCTCAAATGGACCTATACTATTATTACGTCACAGTTTGTTTACCTGTTCTAAAGAACATTCTAGAACGGTCAGTTAAAGAATAAAGATCATTTTAAAGTTTTCAAAGTAATGTCTGATTTTTGCTGTGTCTAGTTGTGTTGACACAGCATTACATGCCGCATGGGTGATTTAGTTGTGACATTAGACGAAAGTAGTACTGTATTAAAAGCCTTATTATATTAGGCTAACGCTACACAAACACACACCGCGCTAGCTACGCACCCCTGTACAATATAAACGTCGATTGACCGGCATTCATTGCGGTAAACAAACTATGACGTATAATGTGATAGGTCCATAATGGGGTCACCTTCCGTCATTAGAAGAGAACGCATGTTCCGTTTTGGCCATTGAACAGAACGTGTGTTCCATTTGGGGTCACCCCTAGTCATTGAAACGGAATGCCGCATGTTCCCGGGTCAGTGCATCGATTCTTATTGACCTGCGTTATGGGGAAATGGAGCTTTCTGATTGGTCGACGTCTTCTGACCATGTGATAACGTTACATATAACGCCCTTTTAACAAATGCGCTAGGTCATCTTTTTGGAGACGGTCATCACTTCGCTGATGGACCTCATGCCGAGACGACTGATAAACAAGATGCCGGGGAAGGATTCCGGGCTGCTGAGTAAGAGGACGGTGCTCCACGGTGTGATGACTGTGACTGTCTGTTTTCTGTTCTTCCTGCTAGGACTGCCCTACGTCACACAGGTAATCTTCTTTCTTCTCCTCCTTGTTACCTCCGTATATGGTTAGTTCTTGTTGTAGGTGTTTTTGCCTGTTTGTTTGCTTGAGGGCCGTAGGTACTTGAATAAAGTAGATTTATCTATGAATATTTACCATATTTATGGTTATGACGCCTTCGAATCCTGACGTCAACACTGAGACCAGACTGTAAGGTTTGAACCACTGACACCGACAAGGTTCCATGCTCTTTTCGACAAGTGCGGCAGGGTTTTTAACGTAACGTGCTCAAGGTGTGGCTCCCCCAAACACGGGACCTCCGACTTAATGTATGCATTGAAAATAACTTCTTACATTCAGATTTCTTTATCATAATAGGGCGGTAGCTACCTGAGCAGCCTTGTGGCTCAGTACAACCTGATCATCCAGCCGTACATGTTCGTCCTGCTGGAGTGTGTGGCTCTCACCTTTCTCTACTGTGAGTATCACCTCACGAAAAGTTGGATTCATCAATGGTAAAATGTACTTGTTTTTCCTTACTTCAATTTTCACCTCAAAACAAGGATCATACGAAGCTCACATGTTTTGCTAAATGGGGTGAACTTGAAAGTATGTAGATGATTGGCAGAATGACAGGAGGTCAAAAGGTAGGTAATCAAAGCAGGTCGCCAAAAGGAACTGCGCTTGCACGAAACCCTTAATATATTATGCATAGCACGAAAATCGTGAAAAATACAGGTTTCGCACAGTCGCAGTACGTTCTGCCGATGCGCCATGTCAGTCAAGTTTAAGTTGTTATTTTGTTCGTCCAGCGCCATCCTGTAGACGCTGTTGCCCAGCCATCAGACGTTGGATGTCTGAACTGAGCCACATGCTGCAGCACGTCTGCTGTTTCTGCTGCGCCACTGTCGTCAACTGGATCGCAGCAGTCTGCTGGCTGTCCTTCATCCCGTTGCTCATGCTGGTGAGCCCCGTTTGTCTCGTGTATCAAAGCTGCATTATGTAACATTAGGACGAAAAAAATACTAAATATTTTTGATCATTTTTGTACAATTGTTTCATGTATCAAAGCTGCATTATGTAACATTAGGACGACAAAAGTACCAATTTTGGTCATTTCTGTACAATTTTGCTTTGAAGTTGGAGAACATTTTCTTCATTATGAATAACACCATACTCTTGTTTGTAATGTTCTACAACTAAGCAATGAAATGTTGGTGCTAAATCAAAACGTTTTTTCCAGTTGTATCTGTTGACTGGCATCAGATATTGGCCAAGTGAAATGTCGCCTTATCAGACCTGGGCCATCGTGCTGGGACATTTTGTCTTTCTCGCCAGTGCGGGGGCGGTACCGCTGGTAACCATCGTCAACATTGTCATCGCACTGGTCAGTTTTCTCTTTCTAATGTTACCTCCAATGAAAAATGAAGGTATTGTTTTTGGTCAGTGTGTGTTTGTGTGCATGTGTGTGTGTGCGCGCGCCTTTATGCATTATGATGATATTTGGTATGTGTGTAGGTCTTTGGAAGACAGAGGTCAAGGTCAAATGTGGGCCTCCTGGTGGCTGTACTTACTGTACATAAATAGGGGCGAGCAGGTCCTAAAAGAAATCTGTTTTTGGTTGCATTTGTCTGTTGGCACCTATAACTCATGATCACGTCATGTGGTTATTCTTTGAGATCCCAAAGAAACATTGTGATTTTGGGAAGGATGTTTAATTTTTTTCTTGTTCACTTTTGTTACAATACATTCCTTATGTCCAGTTAATGAAGTCATCATGAGATGTAACTAATGAGTCTGTAACGGCAAGTCGATGTTGACAAAAATTAACAAGTACAAACGGTAATTAACAGGTGAGACGCAAGCCAAGCGAGATCGTCCAACCCCCGGCAGACTGGGGTCCGTACCTCAACAAGCACAGGAGGGGCGTGGCCTAAAGGGAAACCATGGCAACAGTACAGGAGGGGCGTGGCCTAAAGGGAAACCATGGCAACAGTACAGGAGGGGCGTGGCCTAAAGGGAAACCAGGGCAACAGAACAGGAGGGGCGTGGCCTAAAGGGAAACCATGGCAACAGAACAGGAGGGGTGTGGTCTAAAGGGAAACCATGGCAACAGAACAGGAGGGGCGTGGCCTAAAGGGAAACCAGGGCAACAGAACAGGAGGGGCGTGGCCTAAAGGGAAACCATGGCAACAGAACAGGAGGGGTGTGGTCTAAAGGAAAGCCATGGCAACAGTACAGAAGGGGCGTGGCCTAAAGGGAAACCATGGCAACAGCACAGAAAGGGCGTGGTCTAAAGGAAAACCATGGCAACAGCACAGAGGGGCGTGGCCGGAAAGAAATAAACCTTGGGGCTACCAGGGGTTTTATATATAACAACACCCCGTAACCAAAGCAGACAACGCCTAGCGACAAGGCGATGCTAATAAATTCGAAACTAACGGGTTATTGAAACTAACTTGAATGGTTTATAGACTGAATATTAGTAATATTCAGAAGAAGGATACACAATGAAATAATACAGTGGCGTCAGCTTGTGTATTCTATAAAGTCAGAGAGAAAGACATTGTGTATTATTCTTTACGAATCCTTTTAGAATCGAAATAATTCATGATCCGTGTTATTATTCAGTCCCTTATGATAGGTATTCTACGTACGTGTACATCCATATATATGCATATATGCAATGTATTTACTTGTAAGGATCCATAATTTCTTTCTACGATTTACCTTATTCTGATTTGGGGGCATACTGAGACCAATTTTGGGGCATGCATTAAAACACGCCATGTAATTTCAGGACAACTAAACAAAATCTATTATGGATAAGGAAATATGTCTAATATTGTATAATTACGAGAACAACGGTGTCATTATTGTATCCAGCCTTTCAGAAATCATACTACATTAAGTATTCGCTCGTGCCTCAAAAGCCCCCCCCCCCCACGCACACACACTTTTGAATAGAATTATTGGAATCAACTGTATTGTAAGCATTTAGTGCATTAGTGCATGATTCAAGAACTTACGTTTACTTATAATCAGCATTTCTATATATTACACCAAACTGTGTGCAGATTTGCTACTGTAGAACAAACTCATGTAACTGGAGATCTAGTCTCTAAAACCAGCAAGCTGTAACTAGAAGAATGTGTGAAACATAACGAAATGTCAGTTTGATTATCTAACGCACTTTTTAACGTCATATACTCACTTAGTAGTTTATTAAGCAAGTAGATTTGAATAAACAGTGATGGTTGCATCCAGAATCGATTTGCTCATTTTGCAGCTGCTTTGTGTGATTTTTAGTATGGCCAAAAAAGTTTTTAACGGACGAAAATTTATGTCATCATAAAATCAAATCAACATGGCCAACGGGTAAACAATTCGATAGCTCCTGGCGTAGGCACTTAGTTTCAATGATAGAACATTCGAGTACACTTTGATTGCTATCAAGGGCCATCCTTTTGGGTGTGTCAGATCACTCAGGTTTGTATGAACTACACAACAAGTTGTCACGTTTGAGTTGCTTCACGGATGTTTCACATGTATGTAAGTGCTCTTCAGTTTGAACGCATCTCAAATTAGCATATATTTATGTTTAAAAGGCACCTATTGTTAGAAATTTCAATAATGGTTTGATGAATACTTCACAATGAAGAAAACATAGACGCACGACGCATTGATTTATTAAAATCTTTATTTCTTGTCAGATTATGAATATGCATGCCTCGTTGAGGCGAAATTGACTTGAATTTGAGGTGGTTTTATCCAATCGCCTGGTACGGTAGCCGACAAGTACACTTTAGTCTCTACACCACGGCTTAGCTGCGCAACATCCCTTTAGCACAGTCGGGTTAGGTTTGACTCAAATTTAACTCAAATCCGTGTCGATTCGTAACGAAAGGTAGGCGTGGCCTAAATCTGGTCGACTGCTCCCGGAAATCAGTGTAACCTAGTCGGCTGGTGTTCGCAGAGCAAATTCGGGGGAAGGTCGTGAATGTATGACGGGGGCTTAAAGCTGTAGCCAATTTGCGGAGAGGATGTAGGACTCGGAAGCTATAATAGGTTTGGTAACCAGGCTATTAAAGCCGGCAAATTAAAGCAGGGATGTTTTGCAGCTAAATCAGAGATGTAGACAATTGTAAGTGTTGACCACGGTAGTTGGAAGACGATCTAGGGATAGCGAGTGCACCCGGAGTCCAGGTAGTTCATCATACGGTTGACGAAGTTATGGCAGTTGTTGAAGAGCAGGTCGTAACTGCCGTAGCGGGTCTTGTAGCCGCGGCTGAAGTCGATAGCCTGCTGCAGGGAACAGGAGGAGGAGCCGGCGGAGCTGCTGGCCCAGGACACTGAGCAGTCAGACGGCTCACGGACTCCCTCCCAGGATACCTGCGGGATGGGATATCAAGCGGTCACTGACAGTGTTTTATCTCTTAAAGGTAGCTTAATAAAGTGTCAGCATTTTTTTAGCTTTCGTCCGCTCCCCACGATCCGCTACCGGCTAAGGCTGACACTCGGGCTATCTTAAAGGAGCATTATGTAACATTTTTACACCAAAATATTAAAACACTTTAACGGAAAAATGTCCATGCGATTGTATTTTACGTCCACATTTCAACATATTTGTGCAGTTATCGAGAGACGAACTCAGTTTGTGGTACCATCACGAAATAAGAGAGAGAGAGAGAAAGAGAGAATCAAAAACAACATTCCCAACATTTGGGCGAAGTGACAATGCATGGCGTGGGTCTGTCCTTGGTGCTGAATGCCATCCAGAGAGAGAGAGAGAGAACCTAAACACAACACTTCAATTCCTCGGGGCTGACGTAGCTATACAGTTGATGAAGCTATACAGAGTAATTTCAGCTACCTTGTCAGCGAAGTTGTCGGCGCCGACTCCCCACTCGAAGACCGTCTCGCGGAAGATCATGACGCGGTGAACGGGCCACAGGGTGCCGACCTCGTCCACGGCGCGCCGCAGGTTCAGCGGGGTGGTGCCGTGGTAGAACGGAGCGCTCACGGCTGGAAAACATTGTGACAAATAACAAAACATAGTAGATTTCATTGAGTCTCCTAGCTACACATTCTACACATTCACATTGAGTGTGAATGTGTAGAGTAGAATGTGAATACTCTCCAAGCAGAGGTTTGGGTTTTGGGGGTATTTTTAGTGTGTTTTTAGGCTTTGTTTATCGGGGTTTCTCTTTTGCACTGAACCCCCGATAAAAAAAAAGCCTGAACACACTAAAAATACCCCCAAAACCCAAACCTCTGCTTGGAGAGTAGAATGTGAAGGAGTTAACATAAGAGACACTGAACGTGGATATTTTGCGAGAGCAGTGAAGGGAGCCACTACATCAGGGTATACCAACCTTCTCTCAACCGGGGCGGGGGGCACTACAGACTTCCAACCAACTTTGACCCAGTGCTGACGTCACACGTGCAAAAAAACACGCACTTGGGTCAGATAGCTGATAAAATAAAGACTTAGAGATTCGGTAAAAAAAATTCCGGTGAGTCAAATTTATAGTTGGAGAACAGTTAAATTTCTATTATGTAATTTACCGTCTCAGGTATGAGGGGCAGCAAATGAAGACACTAAAAGAAACAGCAAGAAAGGGAGATTTCAGACCTTTGGGAAGTATTTTCTGCTAGACCCACAAACAAATCAACCACGGCTAAGGAGATAATACATGTGAAAACTGCATGACGTTACCGTATTTGCTTGACTGCGGGTGGCTGTAGCAGGTTGTATCGGCGTTGATGCCGACCGGGTTGGACCCCGACCCGCGAGCCTGCGCCAGCTGCATGTCCACCGGGACTTCATCCTTCGCCGGGGCCGCCTGGACAGCCGCGAGGAGAGCGAGGGTCAGCAACACGTACATGATGCACCAGAGACTTAACCGTACACTCGGTTAACACTGAAAGTCGGCTGAGTATCCGTAAAGCTGGCACCCGAAGACAGGTCTTTTATACAGTTTAATTTTATTGTTTTATGGTACTTGAGTTATCAAAGGCTTTAAGAGAGGGACCAAGTCAAATGTTGTATCATTCTGACGGAAGTTTTCTTTCTTTATCAAAATATTTTTTTTTACAAACAGCGTCATTTGACACATGCGTTTTTCTCACTTGTAAATCACCGAATTTGGGGCGCCGAAAAACGATTGCAACATCCTTGACATTACTATAATCATGGAATGTATTTTTAAATACCGGTGAAAAGAGAATACTTACTGTTAGATGCTAACTTTGCTATGTTCGGCAGACGTTTACGCTTCAAAAGGCATTAGTATATGATTTATATTTCAAGATCAGTAAATTTTAATATTGCTACAGAAAACAATTATATTATGGCTATTACAATAGCTATGATATTGATAGTGGTGACACACGTGTTCACACACACACACACACACACACACACACGCGGAGGCACACACACAAGCATTGGACACACACACACACGCACACACACACACACACACACACACACACACACACACAAACATACAAGGACGCACACACACAAGCATGGACACACACACACTCATGGCTTTTATAGGGGGACATATATTTTTATTGGCGGAAATTTTTCTTTCTTTATCATAATATTTTTATTCATAATGACGCCATTCAACATACGCGCAGTTCTCAACAATAAATCAGAGTAAAGGACGTGATAACCCAAATTTCAGCGTCATTGAGCGTTTATTGAAGATAAACATTAGTGCAGTTAAAAGCAATATTTTGACAGAGAAAAGGAGGACTTTGTATATTGTATATATAAAATAGTTTTCTTGATGTGGAGATGTATTGAATGCTTTGAAACCTTATGCTTTAGAAACAAATCTTAATATCTTACAATAACAGATAAAAATGTTTTTCAGACCAAATGAGCTTCAGTTGAGGCACAAATTCTAAGACCAATTTCTATAGACGAAAAACTATAGACAAAAAAAATCTTTGACCGTTGATGGATGCTATAAAATGAGCATTTGGGGTCAGTTTGTATCCAAAATAGTTACATAAGGTCTTTTTTTTTTCTTAGAAAAAATTAAGTGGATATAACGAAAAAAGGACATTTTGTTAATGTGATCTTAGGTGACAGGAATACAGATTATGTATATTCAACGAAAAGTCTACTTAAGTTCTTAATTAATTCTAGAGGTACTGCAATATCGCACATGTAGCATATAATAAAGCACTTCAGCATAGTACTTCACTTTTTCATTGCCGGCAACTCACTTGGAGAATTTAAATTAATTTTGCACGGAGCGGTTCACCCATATGTTTCATTCTCAACTGTAAAACTTCAAGAGGCAATACAGGAAATTCAACATGGCAATATCATGCAATTTCAATGGCCCAAAATGATATACAATGCATTTTTACTTCTATGCAGGATATTGTGAACTTTGATTTAGTGCCTATTTAATAAAACCTATCATGGTACCTTATCATTTAGAAAAGAGGACAAATGAAAATAAAAAGGTATGGAAGGTTTATTAATTTTGATATTTGAATCTTTTGCAGCCTCAAAAACAAACTGATTTGGCAATGACACAAGCAAAAGGATTCAAGCATGTATGATTTTTGCCAGTTTTAGAGAACTTTATTACCACTTACAAAATGTAATTCTATAACAGTTAAGTTACATAAAAAATATGATTGCAATCATTGATAATAAACTGCAATAAACAGTTTCTTCTACAGAACAAGAAATTGAAGTGTTTTTGAGAATTTCTTGTTTTATTCATTATTGTCAATTTCTAACTGATTATGTCTGTGACTATGTAACGTTATTTCCGCACTAGAAAATTGCAAACAAATCGACGCGTATAGCATGAAATTGAAGACAGGAAAAAAGACTAGAATAGCTCAGGAATACAGCATGTTTCCCCCATCTCCCTCCACATTCCAAAATGGACCAACCAATATCAACCTTTTGCAGAAATGGACCATCACAATGTTACCTTTACATGTACTCACCATACCATGGTATGGACTGAAAATAACCTTTTCTAGGACCTATGGCCTAACTTCCTGTCAGTGTGCTTAATGTTGGTGTAACCTAACAGCTGGTGTGTTATGCCGAAGGGCGGTTATACCGGCTATACAGATACAGAATGTGTCTAGCACATGGCAACAACTTTAAGTACAGAAACACAAGCAAACACACAGACACACTGAAAACAAAACCTTTGCAAACAGAGGTAACACAATATGCTACAGTGCAGAAATTTCCTATGATTTTTTCAGCTCTGAGAGTTTTTTTGCCATGAGTGAATTTTCCTTCTTAAACTGTTCTGGAAACAGCAGGGCTGACACAGCTATCCCATCACACACGCAGGGCAGCCGGCCCACAAGCCTCCAGTCCCACCACTCATATCTGTTTAGAAAGAAAACAAACAAAGAAACAAAGAAACACAATATCAAAGCTAATCATAAGTAATCAATTTTTTATACATTAACTGTGCAGTAAATAGCATTGAATGAATCAATGATTTGTAAATTTTGATCTCAGATTAGTATGGACCAAAATATATTAACACAGAATTTTTAAGAAATAAAAATGATTTTTAAACTTTATAACTGACCTGTCCAACTCTAGCACCTGCACCATGTCTGTATAGCTGGATGTGAGGTAGTCATACCCCCCGCACATGTACATGGTCCGGCCCAGGACGTGGTGGCCAAACCTGCACTGGACACGAGGCCACATGGTCACAACTGACCACAACTCCTGCATTGGTCAAAATAAAGTATCATTTTAATTAAAATTATACATATGTAGTACACGGTACCGGGTAGGCAATACACAATGACATTTAATATTATATGTCATGCATGTATGCACAAACACGCACGCGCGCACACACACACACTCACACACACAAACATGCACAGACACATTACATAGAAACACAAACTGAACTCACTTACCCCTTTAAAGCTATACTCTTCTACCTGGGGGACAGTACTTGACCCATCCTCCCCTCCAACAACAATGAACCCCCCCTTCACTTCTGCCATAGCGTGGTAGGCCCGTCCATGTTTCAGTGGGCTCAGAGCGGTCGTGCCAGACTCCGGCTTGTACAGCCAGAAGCCGCTGCGCCCGCGCGCCACGGTACGCCCTCCGCTCAGGTAGATCTTGTTGTCATGGATACAGGAGGCGTGGCCCGTCAGTCCGCAGTCTAGAGTCGCCGTGTATTTCCAAACATTTTTCTGAAAAAAAAAATTAAAAGTTTCATTAAAGATGTACACACCTTGAGCATGTTAAAAAACTTAACACACTTGTCAATTAGAGGTGTCTCTACCAGGATATCAAACCTTAAAATCCAGTCTTATCCCAGAGCTTGTACTAATACTGCAAAAATTTAAATTGGGGGATTATTTATAGGCAGTTTAACATTTACGTGAAATGAACAAAGTATCCTCATGATCAAAGGCAGTAAAATTAATGCAATTTTAGGACCACAATGAGAAAATTTGTCTGATATTGACATTTTACTGCCATTTCTTAGCGTTTTCATAAACATTGATACTTGAAGCATTTGAAACCAATGGATACTGCCTGGCCAATTTGATACTGTCTTTGCAGCCACAGGAAGTCTGCTTGGAGATTACTTAAACAAGCTACTTGATGAGTCTTTTTACATTTTGAACCTGCCTTTGATACAAGCAACAATTTTTTATCAGTAACATCGCAGTCTTGTCTCACAGATATCAGTATGCTATGAGATAGAGTGATGATTCATTTAAGTTACTACTACGTAACACTAAAATATTACCAAAAATTGATTCGATTTGCAAATTCCAATTCTACTGCCCTGAAATTGCTTTGTTGTATGCCTTTATTAAATATACATTCAAACGTACATTCTACATATTACAAACTCAGTTGACTGGTGAGTACCTTACCTTGATATTGTACATTTCCACGGTAAAGTCTATCTCCTCCCCGTTCCATCCCCCCACAGCATACACAACTCTGTCCACAGCCACCAGACAAAAGTCACTCCGACCGTGACGCATGGAACGCAGGTCAGTCCACGTGTCGCTCCGGGGGTCATAACGACAAAACGCTTTGTGGAGTCTCATTTTCTTGTCATAACCTGGAGAAAAAACATGACGAAAGTTAACAAAACTATCTAAAAGAGCATTGTCTCACATTTTTCTACCAAATATTGAAACATTTCAATTGAAAAATGATCTTTGTGATTGTAATTTACTCTACTTTTAAACATATTTGTGCAATTATCTCACATTTCTGACATTTACATTGTCCTATTGGTGCTATAACAGCTCAAATTCAAGTTAGAAACACTATTTTGTCAAGTTGAATTCAAACCTTTCAAATGCCTAAAAGATAATGTTAGAATGTTCATTCAATGATATGTCAATAGGAATTGGGATTGACCAACGATTGTTTTCATAATAAGACCACATCAATCATAACTCTTTATTCTTGGGTTACCGTAATAGGTTTGCTTATTAATATATAACATTTTTTCTGATTTAGACCAATAAATCAATTATCTCTAACCTCCTCTTTTGCATACATTTCTTATTTCGGGAATTCCTTCATTAATTTTTTTTTTTGATTCTCGGGGCTAGACTTCTCTTCAGACTCACCCCCTGCGACATATAGGAAGTTGTCCACGACAGCGACAGCGTGGTTCAGTTTCCCCGCGTACGGGAGGTCCTGCACCTGTTGCCATGGCAACACAGCGTCCGCCGTCGAGGGCGTTTCTGCTGACGACTCTTCCAAGTAAAACATCTGTTTGGCGAAGAACGCCAGCATTAAAAGGAGTTAGATCAAAGGTAAATATTTTCTCCTAGTCTTTGATACTACTGTACTCCTGCCCTAGCTAGCCTAAGCATGTTTGTTGATCATGACCTTTGGCAGCTAAGGCCACACCGACTTAACTTTATGGATGACATCTGCGCGCGCATTGATTTTCACCTGTTCTCAACAAAAATCACCTCCTCTGAGGCTCTGGTCTGGGTGCCACCCTTCGTAGTCACCCACTTTGGCACCCAGGCTGCCCAAGCTCCAGGGAACTCAAGAAATCAGTAATTTGAAAGTGCTGACTCATAAATGCCGCAAAAGGCCAGCATGTACCGGCTTGTCGTAAAAGTCGCTATGTGCTACTGTGATTCACAATCGCTTGTACATAGCTGCGTTTTTTTTGGCTGGATTTTTTTTTATTCGCCCGTGCGCAATACTTTGGGTGTCTCCATAAAATTAAGTCGGTGTGGCCAAACGGAAAAATGCATACTACAATGTATGTTAGACAGAATCAGCTCAAAATTCAAATTCTTATGATTAATATGAATAGATAAAATGATAAAATAAATTCAGGAAAACTAAATATTTCAGGGAAGTATATATTTAAGATCCTTAATTTCTCTAAGAAATGAGTAGCTTTGGTCAGTTTTAAGTATTAAGGCTGAACAGGTAAACTGCACGTATGTGTACACATAATTGTGTTTCCCTAAATTACCAAACATTTTGGCAATGATGTTTTTTTAAATGTTTTGAAGGGAAATATGGTAATTTGAGAAAATTGTTTAATTTCGGAAATTAATTGTCTGATGAACAACCCCCACATGCAAGTACATGCTTTCCAAGGCCACAACAAGGAAATTCTATGGATGACATCTGTGCACATACATGTACTTATCATTGATCTCAAATTTGGAGAAAAAGAAGAAATTTTGTTCCCCTTTGGTGATGGTTGACACAACAAGAAAATATAAAATATTGGAAAACATCTTATTATAAGTGTATTTGTATTAAAAAATTCTGTCACATTTCTGCAGCAAAATGTTAACTGTTACTGTCTCCTACAAATGTATATGCAAATGTACTCATTCGTCAGACCAACTCCCTGGCATGTTATCTGTCTATTTTGGCCAATTTCTACTCTTTCCTGAGCCATTTTTAAAGCACAATCAGCACACAATGGAACTTGTAACTCTGGCAGTTTTATCACACTTTAGCAAACATGTGAAATTCAATACTTTTTCAAGCAAGCAAGGAGACAAGAGGAAATTTAGTGAAGCACGTGTCGGTTATCATGATTGAAGATGGTAGGGGGGCTGTCTACAAGTTAATTTGCAACATTGGCAGTTGCATCATACTTATACATATTTAGTAATCAATGTCTATTCATGTAACAGGTATGCATGACTGTTGCGTATGTTATTCTGTCATTTTATAACACACCGCGAAATTCAGTGAGACAGAGACCACTTTTCATCATGCTGCGAAGCAAGGCACCGGTTTGGCTCCTTCTGGCCTCCTGTCAGCTACTTTTTGTAGATCCAGTCCAAGCGGCAAGATGCCCTGAGAGATGCCCTGAGAGCTGCACTTGTGTCGAACCATCATCAGTTCGGTACTGGATACCATGTCGTAGTTGTTACTGTCCTCCTGAAGATGGGATGGATTCTCCTTGCAGCTGGGCTGGACCAGGAGGGACTGAGCACAGCTTTGAAAAATGTCTCGATACCCTACCAACCGGCTTCGACCACAGAACTAAAATAATCTACATCAAGCATCTCCGTTCCTCTACGATTCTGGACTGGTCTTTCCCAAACCTATTGCAGCTCCAACATCTGCGGATATACGAGTCAAATGTTTCTGCCATACAACATGGGGCTTTCCGAGGTCTACAGTCACTGAAACTCCTCTACCTGGCTGAAAACCGTATCTCCAATCTAGGTAACGTTTGTTTGTTTTATTAGGATCTCCATAAATTTCACGCTAATAATAATTTCTTCACTGTGTAAATCTACTAGTAGTTGAAAATAGTCATGTAAAAAAGAAGGTTTGGTAACCCTCTACCTGGATTATTTGTTTTGAATCACCAATTATCAACTTCCTTCCTGATACTGATAGTATTTGGACCATCGCACACCGGGGTACATCCCTACTCTTTTTCAAAAGATGTGGTGGGTTCTTTAATAATAACGAGCGTGGGGTGTGGCTGTCCCTAAACATGGGACCTCCATTTAACGTTGTGTCCAGGAGACATCTCTAAAACCCAAAGGCTAGGTAGTACTCATTTTTCACTAAAAGTGAGAAAATTCATGTCAAGTCCCATTCCTAAAGGCACAACATTGGGGCAGGAGATCTATTATTATATAATAATAATATTAGGTACTTGTACCTGGAGTACTGATCATTTCCTGCCTACAACGTGACTTGGTTTGACGTCATCATTTCCTGTATGCAACGTGACTTGATTTCTCAGAACACAATTTACCGTACATAATTTGAAATACATGTACATGTACAATAATTATGTTAATTATGGAAGTCATGATCATTTTTACAACGTAATCATTTCTTGTATGCAATGTGGCTTGATTTGTCTGAACACAATTTACTGTCACATAAATATCAAGTACATGTACATGTAGTTTGTATATTTTTTGGAGCAACAATGGAGTATTTTTGAAAAATACAATACTATATAATTATGAACTGCATGTCTTTTACTTTGCAGAAGTCTTGGCCAGTACTGTGTATGTTGAAGTATTTGCCATATCACAAATACACTCTACAAAATTGTTTAAACCACAAACTTAAGCACTACAAACCTTCTTTCCCCTTCTTTTAGACAAATATACATGAATTTTACAGTTGTTTTTTACTTTCTTTCCATGTGATCAGTTCATGAAAAACAAGCTATTCATTCAACCGTCTCCAAATAGTCTACATGTATGACAAATATTTTCTTAGAAACTTGCTTCCCATAGTGATTGTTGGTCCTGTTTGTTGCCATTTTCTGCTGTTTTTATTGAATATAAACTCTCCTTCCTCTGCAGTGCCTGATGTGTTCCTTGGGCTCAAAAACCTGGAGGAACTGTACCTCAGCAAGAACAACATTTCTGTCGTACCGAAGCACGCATTTCGTGGCCTGTCTCGTCTCACAAAACTGTATATGGATCAGAACCAACTGACTTCTGTGCCAGTCGATGCTCTTCTACTGCCAACAAAATTAGAAAGGGTAAACCTACGAACTAACAACATCAGTTTTATTGACAACAATGTCAAGCATCTGCAGCAAAACAAAACAAAACAGTTACTTCTGGGTGTGCCATTTAACAAGTGGCACTGTGACGAGAAGCTAAGGTGGTTTATCTGCAACCTGTCACGCCTCAGGTTCATCTCTGGTGCCAACTTTCTGACATGTGCGTCGCCTGCCAACTTCAAGGGAAAGGCACTATTATCCAGAGGTACTAAGATCTGCCAGACCATTACAAACGGGCTACGAGCCGAAAGCTTCGATACTGCATCAGAAGTGAAAAAGGTCACTGAAATCTCTGTCAGCAAAGTCAAGCCAACGGGAAGACTAGAGGTAACTGAGTCCACGGGGCATGAGGAAACGTCAAGTGTTGCAGTCACCAAAACCATCGCCACCAACGACACCATTCCTACTCATGAGGGCTACACAGAATCGCCAAATGACGTGCCAGTCTCTCAGCACACAAAAGAGGAGGACCAAATTGTCATTATCCTAGGGGTAGACCCAATCACCCACCAGGAAGACAACAGCTCCTATCTTTTGGCCATGAGCGGTGCAGTCGTCATGCCTCTTCTCCTGGTGTTGGCATCAGTGGGCGTCATCTTCGTCTACAAACGCTGGCGTGGTCCGGCCGATCCCGACCAACCAGCTGGAGCAGACAATGACCACGAATCCTCCGGAACAGAAGGGACTGAGAGGATCGAACCGTACGCAGTGGCGTACGCACACCCCGCCGAACTGCAAGCCTCCAACGGGTTCAGTTCTTCAGCGGACATACGACCCAACCCTGCCCCAAACCAGACACACAACGACACCATTCAGCCTTACGCAGTGGCCTATACTGAAGATGAAGGACCAGACACAGAGATCAAGCCATATGCAGTAGCCTATGCTGAAGACAAAGGACCAGACACAGAGATCAAGCCGTATGCAGTGGCCACTGCAGAAGACCTGGCACAAAACGACAAGATTGAGATCCCCCTGTATGCCATAGGCAGTCCAGACGCCCCACAAGATGCAGATCCTACACCACTGGAAAACAACACTGACCAACCGTCAACAGTCGTCAAAACACTCGTTGACCAATCAGAAGCCGAGCCAATGGAAAGAGATGACGTCGACACAGAGCCTGAATATCCGGAAGAAGAAGGGGAAAATGGCAAACAGTCAACAAGTCAGGACATGCACAAAGGTCCTTACGTTGTGGAGGAAGAAAACATGAGTCAAAGAGCGAGCAGGATCTACGGCGAAGGATTGCAGCCAACTGGTTCTGAAGAGCATGGCCCACCCCATGTCCTGTACAACCCAGATGATGGACAGCTGCAGGATCTGACAAGCACACCCTCAGCACTGTACGGAGAAGATCAAGTAGACACTGCACCTACTCATGAGCCATAGCAGGGCTTGTAGTCAGAACTATGCTTAAGTTCATTTGATAGGCACAGTTGTGGATACAACAGTGCTCAAAATACCAAAATACCATGTGCATGTGCAAGTTGGTGCAGTGAAAGTTTCAGGTACTGTGCACATACTAGTAATTCCAGACCAAACTTGCACCAGTGCAAGTTGCTTTACTCACTGTAATCACCTGTGCAGTAGAAACAGCTTTGAAATTCATACTCTAGTAAATTTTCAACAGAAACACATAAATTGACACCCAACTAAACAAACTATTAAAGTAGTATAACTATAAGTTTCCAATTTTCACTCTTTTGCACTTATATTCAACTTGTTTTTGTGTGTTAGCAAAGTTATTTTTTAAAAGTACACAAATATATTGTAAAGTGAGAAATGACTTCTGCAAGGGTTTTCTACACTTGCTTACAAAGCTAGAAATAGAGAACGTGTCTGATGTACAGCACCATTAATATTTATTACCTTCATTTTCATTGTGGACCTTGTTTTAATCAAAAAAGGGTTAATGACCTGCCTGATCCTCTGAATGTATATATGGTGTCACTGTGACAAGGCCTAATCATTTCTTATACTTGTAAGCAACCAAATAAATAAGGTGGTTATAAATGAATGCTCTTAATAATAAGTCTTATGACACAATATACACTGAGCATCAGGCAGGTTACCAATGTCATTATCATAGAGCATCCAAGCTGATACATTTAAGAGAGACAAATTTATACATGTACTGTATATATTAAATCCTTTATATGTAATTAGTACCATACATATATTAAATACATCTTCTGTATGTGACTGCCAATTTTATTATATATACCTTAACATGACAGCATGGTAACAAAACTATCAAACTGTTCTGTGACGTGTGATGTATATTTAGAGTCCACTGTTAAAGGTAAAAAGATGCAGGAAGAATTTCACGATTAGTGAAGCACTTGTCAGCTACAGAGATGCCACAGAGCACCACTGGTCATGCTACCGGTAATGGGGACTCCATTTTACAGTAGACAGGAGGGTTTTGTGGTGTTTCTATCACTCACTTGCATGTTAAATACTTTGCAGTAATACAATAGATCGTTAACCACATTTGTACTTGTGTGAAGTTGTGTCATGATGTCTCATTGGAGGGTCAAATGAAATAAAGCCACCATCATGTGTACACAATGTCCAAGACCTCGTACCTTCTCCAAATGAATTTATACTACTGATGAATTACAGATTTATTTTATTATAATTTCATTACATAAATTCCTCATTGATTATACAAATATGCAATTATGGTCATCATTGGTGTATTAAATAATATAGGTTAATCAGTTTCTCTACCTAAATAACAGGTTGCCCAATAGCACTCTTACAAAGGCTACTAATATTTCCTCATTAATAATGCATTTAGGTTTTAAACAATGACTGACAATGGCAATAGCTGGGCAACATTTTGGCGCATTCCTGGCCAACCGACATAACTATAAATCATACAAATTGTTTACCTCTGGACTTGCTCCTTGATCCATGACATTCCCACCGAGGACCACTAACATCCACTTGACAGAGCGTACCTGTGTACGTGATGACTGCATCGTAAACTGCTCCTCAGGGTAGCGATGGTACCTGTCACAAAAAAAAAATTCATGATTAATAGCTGACAAAAAAAACAAGGTTGGCTGAAATTCCTGAGCAGTCTGACTAAATTATGCCCATGTCTTAACCTTTGGATGCAAATAAAATCAAATTTGAGTTAAATTTGACTGCCAACCATGCCCCAACTACTGCTGGCCTATTCCCAACCACCTGCCAACCACCTGAGCCAACCATGCCCAAACCTCCTGTTTTAAACATTTTGATTCAGAAAATTCGGCTTAAAAGCACAACGTACTGCTCAGTAGCCGACCTTGCCGAATACCAGCTAACCAAAGCCGACCTTGCCTCGTCCTACAATATACTCCTAACCATGGTTGAGGGGAGTTGGCAAGTGTTCAGGAGGCCATATTTGGCTATGTGTGATACTGGGCTTTAGGTAAAATTTTACAATCTTTACAATTGGTTTCTTGTTTGGTATGCATGGCTTTTTTTGTGCAACACTTAATTACAATTACATGTAAAGAGTGAGTTTAACAAAATGACAGCAAACAAATTACAATGTAGGTTTAACTGAACAAACAGAGAACTGCATTTCAAAGTAAACAAACTTTGTTGCCTCCATGACCAAGTTTCTGCACTCCTCGTCTGTCTTCATGAAACGGACGGCTCGAACGTCTCGGACCAAATCCGACAGCGACATCAGAGGGAAGCGGATGTGACGCATGACTTGTCCTGGCATGGTACACATACATTAGGTTAAACTTTGTGAAACTGCTTAATATGATACTGCAGGAAAGTATACAAATGATACATGTGTACATGCAGGAAAAATACTTCCAACATTATTAACTACCATTTAATATTGGTACCTCCGTGTATGGAGGTTTCATCCACGGCGTGATTGTTTGTTTATTTTCTTGTAGGTGTTTTGTAGTTTCTTGTCAAAATTGGAATAAAAATCATTGTGGAATTCTTACCTGTAACTCAGATGTCAGAAGGTTGTATAACTGTGCATGCAGTATAGGCCAATCCAACTTGCTTACTGCATTCAATCTACAATGGCATGCAGGGAGATACAAGATTAAACATCTTATCCTGAAAAGCAGAGACTAAATCTTACACTGACTTAAGACCATTTAATTTTGGTAAATAACCATCTTACCCAAACAACAGCCTTTTTTTTGCAGTGGACAATCAAAATTGACTTCTTGCAGTCACCAATCAAAATTGAATGCGCATCATCTTGTAGATACTGTCTAGCAAATAACATGCCAAACTACATACCAATGCAGCAAAGGGTTACAGCTGCTGTGAACGTACAGACACGAAGGTCCTGTTTCCTCCCTGAAGGAATAATGAAACTTCAAATTTGATGTTGTATCTTACAAACAATTGCTTGATTTCAAGCCCTCTGTACACAATCATTGTCTCGAACTTTTTACTTTGAACTTAAAAATCATGGTCTCATGGACAGACCTGCCAAGGTCATTCTGGAGTCAAGGTCGTGGTTAATCCAGGCAGCAGCCGCATGAAAGGCGTCCACTTCACGGGTAACGTCTAGACGGTCACTTTCCAGGTACAGACACAGCTCCTCAGATGTCAGGTCCTACAGAGGAACAAAGTTTTGTTTGTTTGTTAACTACCTGTTAAGCCCCTGTCACATGTTTAGGACCTTCCCCCCACCTTGCCCTGAACACCAGCCAACCAAAGGCAGCTAGTGCCCCCACTTAGAACATTCTCAGCAAGGACACGTCTTGCCACTTCCACTGAAGCAAATCACCCTTTTGAAGTTTCTTCCTCCATACACCACCTCTTAGTAGGAAGTTCCACACTGAAAGCTTCTTTCCTAGAACAACATCACTATGGAATAAGCTACCACATGAATGTTTCCCATATGGTACAACCTTAAACTTTTCAAGTCTAAGGTCAACAAACATCTGTCCTCACTGGCTATACTGTAACCCAAAACATTTTGAGTGGCTCTTATGAGCCTTCTTTTGTGGTGAATCATTAAGTAGATAAAAATGAAAATAAAAAATAAAAAATTTTGGAAGAATGGTTGAATTTTTGATAATGACCTTGAATTCCGGTGTCTGTGAAACTTGTGGGATGTTTGCAAGGATGCAGTTGTCAGCGGCAGTCTCCACGTCTGACAGGGAGTAGCGATAGGCCAGCTGGAGCGCCGTCAGACAGTTTTGTGCCGACATGGTCTGGATCAGGTAGTCACAGCACAGGTCTATCACTGGAAGAAAGAAAAGTAGTTCAACTCAGCATCAGCAATTGTTCTGATTCTGTAGATACTTTAGGAATCCCAAAGTGTGATTGCATTCTTAACTTGACATGAATTTGGACTACGCAGTATTCTGGTACCCCCCAAGAACAAGAGTTTAGGAAGTATGCAGTAATACTAAAATACTAAAAACTGTTTAAAAAATATTGCCATTACAGATGTAACAGTTATTTCATTTACACTTCATAGGTGGCAACAGTCAATGCAGCAATTGAAAGTCAACATACACCTACACCTATAAGTGTACAAGTATAAGTAACGGAGCCCTTACCATTGCTGACCAGTAGAACGTGTGCAACTTCCAACACGATGTCCACGGTATCTGGTGACAGTTGGACCGTCCCTGTGTACATGTAACTCACCACCACGCCCAGACCCCTCGCACTGATGTCACGTAGCACCACGCAGTCTTCCACACACTCACGCATACCCACTATGTACAGTAAAAAAAGAATTTGCATATGAAGTAACAGTTCTGAAACAAAATACAACTGTCTTAATACATCAGGCTGAAAAGGTACAGACTCCAATCTGGGAGACAGATCTGGAGATCACAATGGTGCTGGCAGGGAATGTGATACATAAAATTTACATACCGTGGCATTATTACCTCATATAGCAATTACGAAACACTTTGACATGCTCTCAAACTTCTGTAAAAGTTGTGTACCTGTGAACATGGCTCGAAAATAGTCGCTACAGGTCGCCAGGACGACACGATGCGCCCAGAACGATTCACCGTCCGCTTCTAACACAACGTCACACATATTCGCATCACACTGGATCGCTTGTAGTCCCTGCACCACGTCCTTAGTGTGGTAGTCATTCCGGATGTAGATCCTCCTATCAGTTATCCCTGGTACTGCAACTAACCCTACATGTCCATCAGAAGGAACCGTTTCAGTTGTTTTACAAGCCTCTGAACCACTGCCCTTCTTGTAAGAGTCCTGTTTCTGTAAGAGGTACATTTCTTGTCTTTCTACCACAGAAAATGTCCAATCCTCTTCCGAAAGTGCCCTCCCTTGCCTCTTGCTTGAAATCCTTTTCAGCAACTGCATACACAAATTATACAAAGACTTGCATCCAAATTGATCAGCGACTGAAACCAGTGCTGCAACAAGCTCTGCACGGACCGAAATCGTACCTGAGTACACATATCCCAAAAAGATGGACAAAACCTTGGGTAGGATGTTTCCACAAGGCATCACAGTGCCTTCTTTCTGTAATCTTTGGTACTGCAGCTGAACAGACTCACATGAAGCAGCCAGAAGGACCTTATGCACAGGAAACTTTTCACAGTCTCTTGTTTGCTGAGATGTTGCAAGAATAAGCTCCAAGTCACACAGTTGTCCTTCCTCTTGTAGACTTTGGAAGCCTCTTAGAAGGCTTGATGCATGTTTATGACAGTTCAGAGTCATGGACAATGTTTTTTGTATATCACAGGAACTGTCAAAGGCCATCCCACTACGAGACATCCTTATGCAATATCCAGCCAAACTGTTTGTGTGGTGGTTTTCACTGTGTCTTCATTGTGTCAGTTCATGTACCTGTTGAAAATTGAAATGAAACTAGGAAGGTAAGAATTACAAAGCAAAAAAGCAACTGTAATATTTACATTCACAATGGTCTAGCCTAGCTAAACAACAAAATCACCTTCAGGACCATCTAGTTTGAATAACTCATTACCATCTAATTAATAAATGGTGGTTCTCAGAAATGCACTTGTGCTAGTTTTTGTTTGTGAAATTTCCTAAACATCACCTGCATAATATTGTGCATTGATTCCCAAACATATTTTTCATCACCATAAAGTCTAGCCGCGGCGACTGTTGCAGGGCTTCTCTTGCTTGCAGTCTTTTACAGTAGCCCTAACAACAGTTAGGGCTAC